TCTCAGATCTTTCAGCTCGATTTTCCTGTAATCCGGTTCCGTCAGTGATATTTTTTTGACCATATTAGGATGTAGCCGAATGTTGTCAGTATATCGCATGAACCAATCAGAACACTATTTTCTTTGCGACGTCACGAGGTTTCCAATATTTGTTCAGCTCTCCAGGGTGCAGAACCTCGTTGGGCGATTAGTTTGGTAAGTAATTTGCCTAACATTCTGCTTTTTGAGGCATATACATCTTGGATTTGTTGTGATTGAATCATACCATTGTTAAAGCTTAACAAGACCCGAGTTGTTTTCTGGAGTGAATTCGAGTGTTGTTTATTTGATTCACAGTAACGTTCAGGATTTGTTCACCATCTGTTCGCCAAATTATTTATCCATATTGGGATCAACAGCTGTGAAATGTGCAGTTCCAGAAAATACCTACACTCCCCTCTGCCAACAGAAGGGATTAGAATTTCTTAGGGGTGGGGGATCTGTTAGGCTCAAGTACCAGTCACTGTGTGAGGAAAGGAACGTAGACCAGACTCGAGAGAGCACCGGAAATCGAGGCCAAAGGCCAAAATATTTAAAGAAATGTATGACACTTTACTGGAATTTTCAGGGGGAATCTTGGAAAAACTCCCTTCTGCAGGGGAGGTATGGATATTTTCTGGAACTACACAGTGCTGCTGATGTTATCTTATCAACATGAGGTAAATAACTACTCTTAAAAATGTTGTCAATTTATAGTAATGTTTATTTCCACCACTGATTACACCTTCTGATCCTACAAAAGGAATTACAGGTTAATGGGATCAAGTGAAAAATGCAATCCTGGAGAGGTTAACACTGTTCCATTGTATGAGATTTTATTTTCTTAGCAGTCCTAAATGTATTCTACTAAACTCTACTTAAGGTGGCTCAAAACAGTTTTCTGTTTTTTTTTGTTTTTTGTTGTGAGACTCATAGAACTAGGTGTGATTTTTCAGGCTTGGAACTGTACTGTTTTGAATGGCTGTGCTATTTATTGCGGGTAACTCTCCACTGTACTTTTCATTGTGATTAAGTAATGAATTAAGGTTGCACTGTTCTGTTGCATAGCAACAAACTTGACCCACTTTTTACCATCAATTGCATCTATCTTAAAAACTAAGTTGGTAACCTCATATTTTTTTCTAAAAATCTTTTTATTACCCACAGAAGAAGAAACATGGAAAATTTCAAAAATCTATGTGGCATAGATTTTGCTTAAGGTGGCTCCATAGGGTAATCATTTATGGCGTTGCGTGCGCAAGTGTTATGTTTTGAATGTCGTTTTTGCATTCGTATTTACACCCAGTCCCCTCAAACTAACTACATGTAATAAGCAATGATTAAATAGTGTTTTACTATCATCTCTGTTAAAATTATTGGTTTTAGTCTTCGATTAGAAATGCCCAAAACATTATGTTTTTTACTTTTTTATGGCTTTACTTGCAATTTTCTTGAATTTCCTTCGGTGAAATCTTCCAAAATTTTCACAGCATATTGCTCCCTGCGGGACACAAATTTTAAACACGAAAAAAGTAGGGTTTGTAAAGCCAGGTTTTTCGATTTTTATAAATTTACATCTTTTACCGCTGCAAAAAAACTGGTCTTATAGATTTCCCTCAAAAACGAGCTCCGACTAAAGTAAAATATTTACTACAAATCTGCCAAGTTTTACGGAATTTCACTGAAGGAAACGCGAGAAAATTCACTGTCAGTTTTGCTTGTTGCGCTCATGTTGATGTAATAAAATATCGAAAAACACTGATGTTTTACTTCGAGCACACGCAGATTACTTGAGCTTTTGTCCTCAGCGTGCGTGCAATCGTAAAACTATAGGGGGCCACCTTAAATTAGAAAAACTGAAAATGTCTAAGTTGGAGGAATTCAACTCCAGACTTTTTTTTTTACAATTTCAAACATGCATTCTTCTTTTGGTGTTGAATAATTTTGTTACATTAAAAAAGTAGTGTCACCAGATCAGTTTTTGAGATATTAGCTTTGTGGATAAGGAATTTTTCTCGTATGTACTACGTGCAAATTAAAATCTCGACTTGCAAGATTGCCCCTTGTGCATGTATGAATATGGTCCGCTGATCAGTAAAGCCCACAATTCCACAAGAATAGTGTTTTCTGTTTTGCTGTTGTCACTAATAGCATAAGCAGTGGAAGAGGAGTACCATAAACACTCAAAGGTGAGACTGGCCAAGTAGAAAGAACAAGATTGATAGCCGGTGTGATCGATCGCATCATCAACATCTCAATTTTCATTCATGTTCTAGTACAGCGGTTAAAAAGAATGATTTTCCTTTGAAATTGCCTGAAGGATGGATGTTTTTGAAGATAAAAATAACAGCTATTTTTGTGTTATCAGTTACTGACAACACATAAAGCTTACTAAACTTGGCAGAAAGAAAGTTTTACGAAGTAGACTTCACACCGCCGTGTTTGTTTTCATTTTTGTAAACTTTAAATCTTGCGTGCTATCTCGCGACCTTTTGGGTGATCGTGTGATGCCTCGCGCTGAAGTGTGCACTACAGCCCAGGTGTCTCACAGAACCATTACTGTTTTGGACCACCTTAAATCAAGACTAAGAATCTAACGTTTCTACACAAATGACACATCAAACTTTTGAGACACCCAGAGGGTCTGAGTTTTTTGGGTCTGTGGTCGGAGTTTTCAAAGTCTGATTTTCGACACATCCCTTTGTGTCTTACTTTCCAAGCAGTTCTTGAAAATCACCGGAGAAAAGAAAACTTTACTTGTGCTGATGCCTACTCCAAAGAGGTCTTGAGATGCAAAAGGTGAATTTGTCCACCATAACTAGTTCTTGCTCAGGAGAACTAGATTGTTCTCAGCTGCTAAAATCAACTTTTAGTTATGTCCACTTCTTGACACAGCTTGAAATACTTAGAGAGCCTTTTTTACTTTTATGGCACACTGGATTGGCACCCTGGAATGAGTGGGCCCAATTTATCCATGGACCAACAACTCATGATATTGGATGTTCATGGGTTGCAAACCTATGATTCTATGATGCACTGACTAGAAAGCATAGGTTTTCCTGGAAGTTAGAGCAGGTGAATAAACAGGTTCCATCCAGTGTTGCACAAGGAAAACAAAGGCAACAGCAGCAAATATGCAGATAAACACAAACAAAACTGTCTTGGGAATGATCAGTCCATCAACTTCGATCTATAGGAAAATGAACAAAATAAATTTCTTTAGTAAGATGAAACAAAACCAAATGCATTTAAACCAGATGTAGTCAATCAATAAAAATCAATATCGGAAATCAATCGATTCAATCGATATCAATTGCCAGTTGCTATCAATTATGCTCCCTCATCATAGGTCTGCAGTGCTTGCAGAGAGCCTTATGGTCCCTCATCATAGGCCTGCAATGCGTGCAGAGAGCTTTATAATATATGCTCCCTCATCATAGGTCTGCAGTGCGTGCAGAGAGCCTTATGGTCCCTCATCATCATGGTTTTAGACTTATAAAATTTGTCTTGTATCGACCGCCATGTTTTCCTGCGCACGAGGTGTAAAGAACCTTCCCGGCATGCATTGCGATCACGTTCTGCGGACGTTTCTCGAACTGGTAACTAGATTGTTTAAACATAAGAATGGCC